ACAGTGCAAATGCGATCACCCTGCAGATTTGGAATCTTAGGCATTTCGCTATATTTGTATTGCACTTCATCACTGCCATGCCAGATGATTAAAAATGCAATGAACTGATCAATCGTAGGAATTACTGCCTGTGCTCTTGACCATTAAAGGGATGAAAAATGGTCATTTTGACTCTCTGACCTCTGAAATACTCACCAGTGAAATTAGTGAAATACTTGTGTATTTGATGTCATAAACTCCATACATCTGTAACTGCATAATTACAAGGAAGCAGGAAAGATCCTGTTTCTGAGATGGCCCCAGTGGAGCAGTATTCCTACATTCTTCTGCGTGCTATGTGATGCTGCTTTGGAAGAGAATTTCTTACTCTGGCCTTATAGCATGGCTGTCTCTGAATTTCCCACCAAGGCTAACACATGGATGTCATGTAGGGATTCCTGTGGAAACCATGCTGGCTAGGGATATGTGTAACGTTGACAGGTAGAATCAAACCTGGGAACTCTGGAACTTAGTGTATGGGGGTATGTCTACACTACCCTCCTAGTTCGAACTAGGAGGGTAATGTAGGCATACCGCACTTGCAAATGAAGCCCGGGATTTGAATTTCCCGGGCTTCATTTGCATAAGCGGGGAGCCGCCATTTTTAAAACCCCGCTGGTTCGAACCCCGTGCAGTGCGGCTACACGGGGCTCGAACTAGGTAGTTCGCACGAGGTGTACCTGTAGTTCAGAATAGGAATCCTAATAACCAGCTGGCTATTAGCTAAGGCAGTACAGCAGACTCATTATGCTCTGTCAGTGGTCTCAGTGTCACTAGGTGGGACAGTACACCCAATGCACAGCTTTTGTCTTTCCTTAGATAGGCAATGATTTTTGTATTCAGAGCCAGCATGATTTTAAAAAAAAAAGCGCATCAGAACTGTACAGTTATCAAAGGGAAAAGAGAAGAGGACTAGTGTGGTGTTTTAATTAAATGTCAAGCTAAACCAGGGATGTGAGAAACAGTTTTTTATTTGACAATATCAGTGTTGAGCGTACCTAACTGAAGTATGAGCTCACAGAAGAAAGGACCATATTTTGCAACAGGATCTATGTTGGTAAACTCCTATGGCCATGCAAACCCCTCAACTTCAGTGGCCATGCAGGAGCCAGTTCTTCAGAGGGTTGATTTGTTGCTCATATGAATAGATGGCAGCTAGGTAGCTTCTAGTGGGAGCTGCGATCACTGTCTCCTGCAGAGGCGCAGGTAAATATAGCAGTTGTGGCCCACCAGTATTCATGAGCTGGTATTTGCCCACCCTTGTAATAAAGGCTAGATTTGAGCTCAACTCCTGTTTAAACACCAGAATGAAGACAGCTTAGCGCACTAGCTGCTGATCTTCACTGAACATCTGGCCATAAGTGTCGTAACATGAGGAGCTGAGCTTTTTTGAAAATCCACCTTTTGTTTAGGTGCCTAAGTGGGAGCTAAGCTCTTCTGAAAAGCTGCATTTAGTTGTGAGTGGGGAACACTGGAAAATCTGGCCCTAATTTGCACCTGAGTATCTTGTTTGTTGGTTAGTTTGTTACCTGCTTGAGCAGTTAAAAGACTGCATCATGGTCTGTCTGAGAGGAATTCAAAGTCTCATAATTCTCAGTATAATTCTTTTTAGGAAAGAATCCATGTTATTAATAGGCCAAGAACTGAACTGATACAGAGAATGAAATACCTTCTCAATCACAGAGATGGTATCTCCCGGGCAGAGCCAGTCTTAGGGGTGGATGAACTGGGTGGTTGCCCAGGGCTGCCATTTTCAAAGGGCCACCGACTGACCCAGTCTTAGGGGCGGGCCGTGACTGCATTTCGTCCCAACCTCCCGAATCCTCCCCTCAGGTTTCCCTGGTTACTCCCCGATCCCCTTTTTTTCTTTTTTTTCTTGACAAAAAAAAAGTGAGCTGCACGGTCGCTTGGGGCTGCTAATTGGTTAGGACTGGACCTGCTCCCGGGCCCGGTGAAAGCTGCAAAGAGTAACAATGCAAACGTACCAGTTGCATCAATTTTATGTCTATATAAAGATGTTGGCTGCGTCTAGATTGGCATGATTTTCCAGAAATGCTTTTAATGGAAAAGTTTTCCGTTAAAAGCATTTTTAGAACAGAGCATCTAGATTGGCATGGACACTTTTCCGCAAAAGCACTTTTTGCGGAAAAGCATCCGTGCCAATCTAGATGCGCTTTTCCGCAAAAAAGCCCCGATCGCCATTTTCGCGATTGGGGCTTTTTTGCGGAAAACAAATCTGAGTTGTCTACACTGGCCCTTTTGCGCAAAAGCTTTGCGCAAAAGGGACTTTTGCCTGAACAGGAGCAGAATAGTATTTCCGCAAGAAGCACTGATTTCTTACAGTAGGAAGTCTGTGCTTTTGCGGAAATTCAAGCAGCCACTGTAGACAGCTGGCAAGTTTTTCCGGAAAAGCGGCTGATTTTCCGGAAAAACTGGCCAGTCTAGACACAGCCGGTGTTCAGTATCCAAGGCTGTCACTTCCTTTGTGCACTAAAATTCAGTTTCATACGCTACACAAGCAGAGCCCTGCATCTTTTCAACAGTGCTGCCTTTCTCAGCTGACATAACTGACAACTGCAATTCAACGCTGCAAAGTACATGCACACAAATAAAAGGTGATAAATATGTTCAGGGCCTATCCTGGTATAATGAGAGTTCAGCATGTCATCCTATAGCACCAGATCTCTTCTCTAATAGCATAGTAGTTAGTGTGAGCATGCATCATTTCTCTGCTTACAAAAGCAGAAAGCACAGAAGAGATGGTTGTGGTGGAAGTGCCCAGAGAGAAATATTCCAAAAGGAATGAATTTGTAACAAACATTTGATGGCTGCTCTCTGAGCACTTTCAGTGTATAACTGGAGGACTGAGGAAAAGGAAGATGTTACAAGCCTTTGTCAGAGAACTCTTACCACTCATTGTTCTTGGAAGAGGCCCATGCTTATCTAGCAGATCATGGCGGTGTGCAAAAGCAATGGCCTGAGACATTTGGCACGGGCTACCTTGCCCGACACTTGCACCATTTATTTACAAATAAAAAGCTATAATGATAAAAAAGACCTTGGAAGGCAAATTATTTTATTTATGCTTACAGATTGTATTGGCTGCTCTGAGACATACATCTGTAGGGCACAAACTCTGTAGCACAGACCATAGGCCTAAGTGTAACGGGCTTCTATGGATATTGCCAGAGTAGTGCTTACAGATATGGCACCCACAGAGATGTGACTTTCTGTGTTGGGGTGTGCTCCCCACACTGGTCCAGCAAGAGCTGAATTAGGCCAGGACAGCGCACTCAACCAATTGAACTGCAAATGGGGGAGAATTAAGCTATGTGGAGGTGCTAATTAAAAAGGAGCTTACCTGCATGGGAACAGGTGGGGCTTCTATAAAGTCATGAGTCTGGTAACGGAGTGGGATGGGAGAAGTCTGCAATCTCTCTACCTAAGGAAAAGGAAGGGGAGATAAAAACCGCTGAGAAATGGGATAGGAACCCATGAGGAAGGGTTTTCGTGGCCTGTCAGACAGGGGTACGATTAGGAAAGCTGATGAAGGAGGAGCTTCAAGAAGATAGTAGGAAGTAGTCTAGGGAAGAGAGCAGTTGGGTTGGTGAAGTCCCTGATCTTAACTGCTTAACTGCACTGGAGGGTGGGCCGAAGGGCCCCTGCCATCCACTACAGAGTGGTTCTGCTTCGTATAGTGAATGAGAGAAGTGCTTGAGTGACTGTGGAAGTGACATAGTCATGGCAGTGGGCATGAGGACTGCCTGATGGTGCTCATGTGGAGAGATTTTGAGGGACTCCTAGGAAGGGGAAATCATGGGGGACCTGGCTAGTGGACTAAGTCACAAAGCAGCTGTACTGAAGCTCCACCCATGGAAGGAGAGCAGCAATGGAGGAAGACCAGAAAGGAGTTCAGAATGAGGCAGAGCTAATCCCCAGAACTACCACAAGGGGATACCACCCAGTAGGGAGTAGAATACACTATTACCCTTCCTAAATGTTTTCCCACTTACTTCCCATTTCACTTGTATGAGAAAATGTTTATATTTCACTTTGCCTTTGAGCCTGTTTTGTTCAGTCTGATACAGTGTTTTCTAGAGGCAGAAGTGCATGGGTTGAAAGGCATGTTTTTGTTCACAACATGGTGCAACAGTGGCCATGAATCACTTGAGCCCATTTTGCACAGCAAAAGTGTAGCAGGAAACCAGGCACCATTCTTTAAGAAACTGCATTGGTCGCCTCTGGAGAGACCAGACAGGAACATAGGAATTGCCAGAGCAGATAGAGAAGCAATCAGTTCTTTCCAGTATCCTGGCTCTGACAGTGACCAATACCAGAATCTTTGGACAATTGTTGAAAACCTGTCCATAGGAGAAGTCTCTTTCCAATACTCATGAGCTGGTCAAAGTGCTTGGCTCATGCCCTGAAGCTAGAAGGTTTATATCCTTTCAAGGCAGACACAGCCTCAATGAATAGGAAGGGCCATTAATCAAGTCTTAGTGTTGTGATGTTTCGCAATGGCCCACTTAGTTTTGATAGTCCTTCTTGATGGATGGTGGATCATTACTCCTGTCTGGATTCACAGGTTCAGAGCAAACACATATAAAATGTATTCCACACGTGGATGGAAAAAAATCCACATATGGATAGAAAAGATTAGAGGAAACATTGCTGTCTACCAGTAATTATTTTGCTTTCCAGTTTAATTTTCTCTCGCCTACAGCCTCAATGTTTTGCTTTTTCTTACAAACTATTTGTTTTTACTTCCTATATTTTTCCAAAATAAATCAGCACTATTGAGAGATCAAAACTGTTACTTTCTAATTGCAGATTTTTTTTATGTCCAAGATGCATATATTTGGTTATATTAGTGATCCTTTTAATATTCTCCTTCTGCATGATGATCATATCCTTCTGCAATCTCTTAAGTGAGGCACATTGAGTTCTCTCTTCTGCTTTAGGATTCTAAGAAAATTCCACCTTGAACAGACCAGGATTTCTGATACAGAAGAAATAAGTATCATCGGTAAGTGTATCATGGCAGCATGAACCCCTAACTGGGTCTCAGAAGGTTTGGATTCTAATGCTTAGATCTGAAATCTTCCATGAAATTTGAGTGACACACAAAACTAAAAGAAGGCAAATTCCCATTTCTTGTTTAGATATGAACAAAACAATGAACTATTGAGTCCAGATTGGTTAAAAAATGCTGAGATCATCTGATCTCACTTTGGACTGACGGATCATGAGAGAGTCTGGAACCTTGGGATCCAGATCCTAGTCCTCATTCTTTCTTTACCTCAGCTCCTAAACACTAGGCTTATCTCATCCAGACTGAAAACTCACCACCTTAGCTTCTTTCAGAGGATTCTCCACTAAGGCATTTTCCACTGCTACTAAACAGCCCATTTCTTTTGCTAATTTTCTACTCTGTCCATTAGAGATTTATTCTATTTGTCCATTCTCTGTGCCTCGCGCCATAGTGTTGATCTGTTCTTTAGTGATCTGGTGCTACCATCCTCTATAACAGAAAGATAAATTATTTTTGTCCTTTCTGCCCGGATAACATTGCAGCTGCTGTAGCTCATTCTTCTGCTTCATGTCTCTGACCTCCTACTGTGGGGATACTTCAGGGATTCCAGATGTTACTGTGGTGCTGGAATTCTGTGGAGACACATCGGTGGTCTTTTCTGGAACTCCTGGGCTCTAGTCCAGCAGCAGCTGTGGAGAAAGGAAATGTAAAGTGATAATGAAACCCCGCTGTTCTTATTTTATCTTTACATTTTCATTCAGTATCCATGTCTCAAAGCAGAAGTGTCTTCCGAGCCTGGAGACTGAAATACAATAGGAGAATATTTCCCCATGATATCTCAAAGTGAGGACTGAGTGAACCTTATGAAGAAAGTAAAGAGATGGTAGGTCACATTCAGAGTTATAAGTTAGACTCAGTTATACTGAGGCTCTGTCTATATGAAGAGTTAGTGCATGGCAAGCTGGGATGTAAGCCTACAGCTTACTAGCCTGCCATGCACTAGCTATCTATGTGAACCCTGGTACCATGTTCTTAAATTTTCCTAGTGGCAGTAGATCAAAATGCACCGAGAAAATTTTAGTGCACAATGGTAGGGTCCCCGTTGACCGTTAGGCCTGGGATACACTAAAGGGGAAAGACAACTTAAGATACACAACTCCAGCTATGTTAATTATGTAGCTGGAGTCAGTGTATCTTTAATCAGGTTTTCGGGCCATCCACACAGCGGGAGGTGGAAGCAAATGTTACTGTTGGCTTCCTTTACTCCTCGTGAGGAGCAGGACTACTGACGTCAACAGGGGAGCCCTCTCGGTTCAACTTAGCGGGTCTTCAATAGACCCGCCAATTCGAACCCCAGAAGATTGACAGTGTTGATCTTCTGTGTAGTGTAGACATGGCCTTAGTATGTGACAGACTGGAGCACTTAGACTTACAGGCCAGTTTGCTATGGACTTACTCCCTCTCTCCGAGTGTAAGAATTCTAAGGGAATTCAGTGTTCTGTGGAAACGTTACTTTTCATGACTTTTCTGCCACTATAGTCCTGTCTTCATTTCATACATGTGAAAGGAGAGAAGTCTGGCCTGCATTTTATAACATGGGCCAGTGAAGCTGGTTGCAAGAATGCCCATTCTTGTTGTATTCTGTGGGGTGGCTCGTTACAATCCGCTGGCTCACATTATCTCTGATGGACTTGGGAACAGAAGTTAGCTCTTCCGGGACAGATTCCAGTGTCCTGGCCAGTAGGATCCGCTCTTTAGAAAAAACAGGTTCTAATGTGCAAGGTAGTGTCTGGGTTGGGTGTCCAGGTGTCTGGGAATGTCCGGTCAAAAATGTGGCATTGGTCAGCCCTCCTGCATTGAAATTGTGGTTGGTGGGGCTGGAAGGTTTCCTGTCTGGCTCCACATGGTTCACAGAAGCAGCAACACGTCTCACTGGCTCCTAGATGGAGGGACAGCCGGATAAGTTCTGCGTGCTCTTCCACCCAATGCCCTGACTCCACAGCTTCCATTAGCTGGGAACCACAGCCCATCGGATCATGGCAATGGTACCTGCAAACAAAGGCAGCAGGCACCACTCAGAGCTACATGGCCACCCCTGCACCTACATGCCAAAGAGTATGTCGCCTCTTCTAGGGAGCCCCCCAAGGCAAGATCACGCAAAGCCCTGAACCCCTTCTTGCAGCTCAACTCCCTACCCCAGCCTGGAGCCCCTCTGAAACCCTCAGTTCCACCCCCCCCAACCTTCAATTCTCTCCTGCACCTCAAAACCTTCAATCCTGACTCCACCCCAGAGCCTGCTCCCCAATCCCTGCCCCAGCCCAGAGCCTCCTCCCACTCCATGCTCCAGCCTTGTGAAAATGAGCAAGCGACCCCTGGTCTACACCAGGGGATGAGTTTGAATTAAGATATGCAACTTCAGCTACATTAATTGCGTAGCTTAAATCGAAGTATCTTAACTCAAATTTTGGCGCCATCATCACTGCAGGAAGTCCAAGGGAGCACACTCTCCCTTCAACTGCCCTTACTCCTCGTAGAAGCAGGACTACCAGCATCAACAGCAGGAGCATCCTCTCAGTTCAAATTAGCATGTTTTCACTAGACCTGCTAATTCGAACCCCGGAAGATCGACTGCAGCTGCTTTGATCTTATTTGTAGCGTAGGCTTGGCCTGCGTGAGAGTGGAGGAGAGCAAGCAACAGAGAGAGGGGAATGGAGTGAGTGGAGGTGGAGCCTCTGACAAGGGGTGGGGCCTAAGAAGGGGTAGGGTTGGGGCCAGGGCGTTCTGTTTTGTGCAATTAGAAAGTTGGCAATTCTAGTCTGAGTTGAGAAGTACGTAAAGGATGAGCCACTTTCCAACCTAATTACTGCTTTCTGAAGCACTTTAGGATGTTTCTAGTATGAAGGCACTATTCTATGCTCTCCTTCACTTTTGTGCCTAAACTAGCTTTGAGAGCTTCATCCTTTTCTGATTGAGCCTTATTTTATTTTCACACCAACATGCTAGCCCTTAGCAACCCAGTTAGAAAGAACACTGCAAAAAAAATCAATTTCATTAATTAAAAGAATCAATTAGAAGAATATCGCATTTGGTGTCAGCTTGTCAAACTGTCTATGTACAGCTTTGAAGAGTGCTCTTCTAGATTGTCATTCATAACTGCTCAAGCAGTGTCTGCTAGAGAACTTCAGCTTTTCATTCTGTTGTAGGTTACAAGACAGAAACAATCTCTCTAGTTACAAATGTCATTGTCACAACTAGAAATATTACTTTCTTTCCTTTTCCACGCTCACCCAGTCCTGGCAATGAAGCAGCTTACTTTCATTCTCATTTAAGTTGATATACCAAACTAGTTCCCACTAGATAATTGGACAAGCTGGGGGGAAAACAAGTTTTGTTGGCTATTATACTACATAAACCAGAATGGTATTGCAGATGTCATATTACAAGAGTATCTAAAGAGACCAGGAGGTGGTTCTTCAATTCATTGTAGCTCAGCTCACCCAGAGACCAACTATATTGTTCTTTCCCATATAACTACTGGACTCCAAATTAGAGAAGACTGTTTATACCCTGGATAGATGGATTCAGGGTAGAACTGAATGACAACATAAACATGTGAACAGCCACTTGGAGTGCTTATAAAGTTCTCATTGCCCTGAGGTTTGGGATGTCTGCATCAGGTTGTGTGGCAGAACCACTAGGCATACTTTCTAGTCTTCAAAAATAAGCATAAATTACTTCATAGCATCCCTCTCTGCACAATTCCCAGCTATGCTGAACTTATAATTAAAATAAACAAGGCAGAAAAATGTCCCCAGATAGAGATCTGAGGTATTCAGAGAGATTAAGTGATCTGCCCAGGGCAACATATTAAATCTGTGACAGGGCTGGGAATTGAACCCAGATATTCTGGGTCCTTATTCAGTTCATCAATAAGACTAGCCTATCCCTCAAATGTTCTGTAATTTAAAAAGGGAACAGAAGCCCAGTGCATGTATAATACATCAGCAATTCAAATATAAATGTACGTTCCTTTTCTAATGCCCTGTAAGCTGTAACCAGGCCTGCTGATGGAAGGGGGCAGGAGACACAACTGCCCCAGGGCCTGGCAATTCACGTTCTTCTTCAAGTGGTGTCCCCATAGGTGCTCCACTGTTGGGGTGTGTGTAGACTACAGGGTTTTTTCGAAAAAAGTAGCTTTTTTTCGAAAAAACTTCTCCTGCGTCTAGACTGCCGCCACGTTCTTTTGAAAGTAAATCGAAAGAACGCAGCAGTTTTTTTCGACCACGGTAAACCTCATTTTATGAGGAAGAACGCCTTTTTTTTGAAAGTGCTCTTTCGAAAAGAGGCGTTCTTGAATGCAAACAGGGCTTTTTCGAAAGAGAGTATCCAGACTATCTGGGTGCTCTCTTTCGAAAAAGTGGCTTGCTTTTTCAAAAAGTGGCTGTAGTCTAGACGCTCTCTTTCGAAAGAGTCTTTTTTGAAAGATTCTTTCAAAAAAGCCTCTTTTGAAAGAAGCTTGTAGACTAGACGTAGGGTCGGTGTCGGGCTCGTCCTGGCGCCGCAGCTTGGAGTTTTGTTGAGTAGTCATCAGCCGGACCACAAATGTGCGGCTTGCGACACAGGCCGTTTGTGCCTTTTGATCTCTCATGTGGTCCGACTCCCGCCAGTTGCTTCTTCACTACCCGTGGTTGTAGACGGAGCGAGCTCAACCGCCTCACAGATCTCTGTCAGGAGTCAAAAGAAAAGTGTTTTAGGCATAGTTTCCTTGTTAGTTAGCTAATAGTTAGTTCATAGTTAGTTAGCAGTTTGTTTAAAAAAAAAAGTTCTTGTATTTCTAGTTGAAGTTAGACTTAGTACTAAAAATCCTGGTTCTCCGGGTTTTAAGACAAACCAGGCACCTCAGGCACTACTTTGCCAAGGCAAAAATTGGCTTCAGAGCCGAAATCGCAGCAAAACCGATCGCAGTGCCGCCAACCGCCATAATAGTCTGTCACTCGGCACCACCGGCAACCGTACCGAATACATTGGTGCCGTCACCATCTACAATATCGACGCCATCACCGAAGCGCCTATAGGCACTGACTGGCCCAGCACCGGCAGACCAGGTGCCCACCACACCTACGGTCACATCAGCACTGGCACCAGTGGCGCGGGCGCACCCGGAACTGACCTCA